AGGGTCTACAGGGTCTCACTATGTAGATCGGACTTATAATGAGCCACCTGCGTTCAGCCTCCCAAGCACTAGGGTTACAGTTGCGCACCACCTCACCCAGTCTCAATCTCCATCTCGGTGGGCCCCTGGGGCAGGGCCTGTGCACCGGGGATCTAACCCTGGTCGCTGTGATCTGCCTAAGCAGGCGCTTTAGTCCACTGAGCTATCTGGCCAGCCCTCTGTTTCTTTTTGCATCTCTTGATCACCTTTTAATTTAATTTTATTTATTTTAATTTTTTTTTTTGGTCTTCCTTTATTTGGTACAGGGTCTTGTTACACAGCTCAGACTCATAGTGAGCCTGTCTCAGCCTCTCCAGCGCTGGGATTACAGATGTGCATCACCACACCTGGATTTGGGGGCCAGATTGGCGCGCTCCAGGTTCTAGGGATTGAACCCGGGTCCTTGTGCGTACCAGGCGGCACTTATCTTGCCTAGCTATCTGCCTAGCCCACCTCTTAATTTTAACTTCTGCCTCCTCCTGTTTGCTAGGAAGTATTGCCAAGTATATGCCAGGTAGTGGAGACACTATTTGGGACATGTGGTCTGCCTTCTAGATCCTTAGAATTAGGGCAGATGGGAGAAGGGAAAGGACCAAGTTTGTTTTCACTTGTTCCTACAAGTATCCTGCAATATAGGCTCGTAAGAGGGGATTACTGGGCCTGGCCCAGTGATACAGAAGTCAATTGCTTCAGTTCTTTTTCTTGTTAGTTATAAACATGGCACTTTCAGAATATTTTTGTGACCACTAAAGAAAAGCTGAGGATTTAGGCAGATGCAGGGGCTGGGAGTTCACTCCCTTGGCCTGCTGTGCCAACCTGGCCCCCTGGTGCACTGAGATGGTGATTGAGTCTGGGCGTGGTGGCACTCGCCTGTAATCCCAACGCCTGAGAAGCTGTAAACAAGAGGATCACTTATGAGTCCGACTTTGATCTTCACAGTGAGACCTTGTACCACCTTGTACATCCTGTCCTAAATACAAAAAAAAAAAAAAAAAAAAGCCCTGAGGGCCGGGTGAGATAGCTTAGCAGACTAAGTGCCTGCTTAGGCAAGCTCAGCGACCATGGTTCAATTCTCCATACAGCATGCAGGGTTGGCCCCACCCCAGGCATACTGAACCACCACGAGTCCATGTGGTGGCGCACGCCTGTAATCCCAGCACTGGAGAGGCTGAAATAGGAGGATCACTGCAAATCTGAGCTGTGTAGTAAGACCCTGTATGAAATACATTAAAGAAAAGAATTTATAATCCTACAATAAGGAACTTTTCAACAGTGTAGAACAAATAAGGTGCAGAACGATAGCCTATCACATATTTTCTTTGTTTGACTTCCACTTTCACCCTATACAAGCCTTCTTGCACTGTCTAAAGCAGAAGCTCTTGCTAGAGCTGCCCAATTCATAAATCACTGCTTCTTCAAATGCTTTAAAATTTTACTGTGTCACAGTTTACCTTTTAACATAATACCTGCCAGGTTTTTTAATTTTTATTTTTATTGTATTTTAGGGACGGGTCTACAGGGTGTTCAGGGTCTCACTACTAGATTGGACTCATAGTGATCCACCTGTTTACAACCTCCCAAGAGCTGGGATTACAGGTGCATGCCACCACGCCCAGTCTCATTCACCATCTCAGTGTCCCCTAGGGGTGGGGCTGGCATGACAGGCCTGGGGATTGAGCCCCTGGCCCTTGCACCTGCTTGTAGGTGCTTTAATCTGCTGAGCTATTTGGCCAGCCCTAATATCTGCCCATTTAAAAGTTTTATTATTGTGAAAAATAGTTACTTGTCCATTCAGGATACAAATAGTATTTTTCGTGAGATAAAAATGTAGCAAGTGAGTAAGGGTGAATTTAACCAGTACACAAGTCTTGTCTGTTACTTTTTGTGCTTTCTTTTGGAGTTAGAAGTAGATGCTGGTTCCTTATTTTGAAACTTGAAAAACAGCATAGTTACTACCATTTCAGTAAACTTTTATTCTTTTGTCTTTTCTAGTAATGTTTATTCAACTGAGTTTATGTGTATCTAATAACATCACAAAAAATATGCCCACCGCCACCTCTGCATATTTTTACTCACTCATGTGGAATAACTGTCTCGTGGGCAGCCACTTACTACTGAAATAGAGGTCAGAGAACCAAAAATTCCACCCAGCAGAAAATGGACTCAAAAAAATCACTGTCGATTTCACAAGACACACAGCAAGGTCAGCATGCAAAAACAAGGACAGCAAACAAAATATTTTTAAATTACAGTTTCAAGATATCTCAAGAAACATTCAATTAATTAGTTAATTTATTTATTCATGTATTTGGTACAGGGTCTCACTATGCAGCTCGGACTCAGTGATCCTCCTGTTTTCAGCCTCCGCAGTGCTGGGATTACAGGCATGCGCCACCACGCCTGATCTCATCGTGGGCTCAGTGCACTCTGGGGCAGGGGCCAACCCAGCATGGGGGACTGGGGATCAAGCCTTGGTCCCTGTGCTTGCCTAGCCAGGCACTTAGTCTAACTATAAATTGTTTGGCTGCTTCTAATTGATTAGCCCAACTTATTTGGTTATATTTGCAAATAAAAGCTAAGGGAACTTAGGAGGTCTAACTGGCTATGTCCGCTAGGGATTCTTCAGGCCTAGTTGCCACTTGACTTTGCTTTACCACGTAATAGGAGAAGTGCAACTGGTTAAAGCTCTGAGGAATTTTTCTGCTGATATAAATTGTATCTAAATCTTCCGCATAGATAAACATCTACTTTCAAAAATCTGATAACTCACGTCTAAAACCTTAATAGCACATTTCTGATTTACTATCATAAGCTGCTAATACAGTTGCAGTATGCATGACGTAAGGGTGTAGGTCCTGTCATCTAGCCATGTGCCAGTTAATCTTTCAGTCTTACTTTATACATAAAAGTGCTGGTATTTGTAATGGAATGGATTGAATGAGAGGACCTAGAATTTTGCAAATATTTGATATTTTTTGTTCCTGTTGCCAGAAGAAGTTTATGGCCTGGTAGTGGTAGAGGTGAAAAGGATTTCAGCAGTTTCGTCCCATCTTCTCAGTCTAAAGGTTGTGGCCTGTAGCGGTACCTTGAGGGAATTTCAAATCAAGAGAACAAGGTCTGTGTGTTCTTATTCTTTGTCAATCCCTTGTTTCCTGTCATTTGCCTTTGAAAAATCTGTTTTCCAAGTAGATTTTCTAATCTTTATCCTGCTTTTCTTCTGGACCAGGAGTTATAAAACAGTATTTGCTGTACTGTACTATGTGAGTACTACTATAGTGAAGTATTGGGACCTTTTCCCCTTCTAGAAAAATGAGTTCTTGTCACAGAATGTTCCAACCTCCTGGACTTCTCCGCCTTTCCATACTGTAAGAGCTACATAGCAGAAAAACACTTTCCTTCTATGAAGATTTCGAGTGTGTCTTATGTAGTACTTAGCACCATAGAAGACTTGGCTGTAAGCAAGAGTCCCACATGGGAAATGTTCATCGTAATGATAACATCTTATACCAAACTTCTCAAGCTTTGGAATGCGTTACAGTCATGTAGAAGGTGTTGAAACTCAGACTGCCGGCTGCCACCTCTACAGCTGTAGATTAGCTAGTCTGGCGTGGGCTGTATCTGGTTTTCAGATTGATGGCCCAACAGCACGTGCCATCTGAATACTGGAGAAGCATCCTGCCTTGCCTCTAAATAAATGCTTATGAAAGAATCTTTCGCACTCTAAATTGGGAGTAAACATTTGCCACATATATGTTTTTTAATTTCTTTTACAGCAGTGGAAAGACAGTATACCAAGTTATTTGCCTATATCATCATCTTTAATTCTGCAGTTAAAGTGGCCCAGAACCTTTGAAGTACTGCTGAGAAAACCTCTGAATAATGAATAATGAGGCACATTAATGAACACCCCACTCAGTGTGATTTAGTTTCACTCAGGGGACTTGTGACGTAAGGGTGGGGAGAAGGTAGTACACACTGAAGGACTTACAGTGGTAAACCAAGAACTGTGTACAGCTCCAAAGTGTCGTGGAATTAACAGTTTTGCTTTTCTTTCGTTTTAATTGGTAACCTTTCTTTAACTGATTAAATAAGTAGGATGACTGTGGGAAATCCTTGCCATTTTTATATTACAGCTTAGTTTTATTGTATACTTAAAATAGTTTCTTTTTTTTAATAGTTTCATAAGATTTTAAGTTTAGAGTTTTTTTCTAATTGGTTTAACCTGAGTGAGTTTTAATTTATGAATATACAGTTAGTTGCCCCCTTGGTGTTATGTCCAACTGGTTTCTGGATTTTGCTACTTTTTAGCTCAGCCTTCAATATCGTCTTTGATGTCTCACGTCCACAGCACTTTCAGCAGATCAGTTCATTCATTCAGCGTATATTTGTCATGCGCTACCTTATGTCAGGAATTCTGCTGGGTTTCGAAGGAGATGATGGGGAGCAGACATTCCTGCATCCTCATGAAAGTGGGGAAGAACAGGCCAAGAAGGGCGCCATCCATTGTGTGGACGGAGGAGTGAACAGAGACGCTGAGCAGTCCAGGACCTTGGTGGGGGAGAGAGATGCATCCGGGAGGAGCTGGAGCAATGGGGAGTGGGCTGGGCATGCAACTAGTTAGGCCCCTTTCCGTGTTCTCCTATAGGGAAGGTTGTAGCCTATGGACTGTGGTTATCCTGGCAAAGAGAAGGAGCCAATCTCAATCCATATTTAAAGGGTTTTTGTGGTGGTGGTGGTGTTTTTTAAATTATATAGCTCACTGGGTTGAATGTTACAGATGTTGCAGGTTGGTCGGTTGATTTTACTTTATTTTTCCCCTAGAAATTATACAGCTTGCGTTCACTTCTAGAAGAACGGAAAACCCAACGATTTGAGCTAAGTCCTTGGCCTTTAGCCGTGAAGCGCTCCTCAAGTTCTTTTCACGTAGAAGCTGCAGTGAAGTTTTGAAAAATGAAGCAGTTGAAAAGAAAAAGGAAAAGCAATTTTAGCGTTCAAGAAACTCAGACTCTTTTGAAAGAAATTACCAAAAGGAAAGAGGTCATTTTTTCCAAGCAGCTCAACACAACAATAAACGTGATGAAGCGCATGGCTTGGGAGGAGATTGCGCAGTGCGTGAATGCGGTCGGGGAAGGAGAACAGAGGACCGGGACGGAGGTGAAGCGCCGGTACCTGGACTGGCGAGCGCTCATGAAGAGAAAGAGGATGAAGGCGAACATTAAGCTGGTCGGGGCAGGATTTCCCCTTCCCACGTCAGACCTGGATGACTCCCTCACTGAGGAGATAGATGAGAAGATTGGCTTTCGAAATGACGCGAATTTTGACTGGCAGAATGTGACAGACTTCAGGGACGCGGGTGGATCCTTAACAGAGGTCAAAGTGGAAGAGGAAGAAAGAGATCCGCAGAGTCCTGAGGTAAGTATCAACCTGTGACACTTTTTTTCTTTCTTTCTTTCCTTTTTTTTTCATTTTTAGCTCTAATATGAGAGTTTATAGCCCTCCGATCATTAAAAAGTTCTCATCTTTTCAAGCTTAAGATTTTTGTGTGTGTGTGCGTTCATTTTACATTATCAAAGTAGTAAACCTTAATTATATCAAATTTGTTTATTAGTGATATGAGATAATTCAGTGTACATGGTTTTTACAGTTCCAATTAAATCTGGACAAACCTCACACCTACCATGGGAAGTAGAAATAAGTGCTGAAAATCATTTGTCTCTTTCCTTCTAGTTTGAGATAGAGGAGGAAGAAGAAATGTTGTCGTCCGTCATACCAGATTCCAGGAGGGAGACCGAGCTCCCCGATTTCCCCCACATTGATGAGTTTTTCACGCTGAACGCCACGCCATCGCGACCCGCCTACGACGAGCCCCATTTGCTCGTGAACATAGAGAAGCAGAAGTTAGAGCTGGAGAAGCGCCGCCTGGATATCGAGGCCGAGAGGCTGCAGGTGGAGAAGGAGCGGCTGCAGATCGAGAAGGAGCGGCTGCGGCACCTGGACGTGGAGCACGAGCGGCTGCAGCTGGAGAAGGAGCGGCTGCAGATCGAGAGGGAGAAGCTGCGCCTGCAGATCGTGGGCTCCGAGAAACCGTCCCTGGAGAGCGAACTGGGCCCCGGCGACAAGGCTTTACTGCAGCCGCAGGACATAGAAGCAGAGAAACTAAAACTTGAACGGGAACGCTTGCAGCTGGAAAAAGATAGGCTGCAGTTTTTGAAGTTCGAATCTGAGAAACTACAGATCGAAAAGGAACGCATGCAAGTAGAGAAAGAGAGACTTCGAATTCAGAAAGAGGGACACTTGCAGTGAATTGTTTTTTGTTTTTTTTTTTTTAGGTCTCTAGTGAATGTTTATATAAACTAGCTTTTTCTCCTATCAGATGACGTAAAGGTAGTTGCTGGATTAGTGGTGTTTTCCTAACGTCGGTGTTCTCAACACATAAAGGTAGCTATGTGTGGGTAGCTGTGTGATTAAGTAGCGTGCTGTATAACAGCTCTGCCCCGATACAAGCAGAGGGGCAGAATTACTGTGCTAGACTCTTCCCATTAGTAACACTATATAGTCTTGTATCATCCGTGTACCCAGAGTTCACAGTTATGTCTGTATAAAATCCTAGTCCAGTTTGGGTGATTCCGGCTGCAGGAAGATAGCAGACAGTGTCTGCAGAGACGTTTTTGGTTGTCAAAACC